AAATATCTCTGAACTAATCAGAGGGACCTGGGTAGGGAAATTTGTGGTAGACCTTCCTGATCTTTCAGTGATAGATAGCAGAGATGCACCGCATCTACACAGATTCTGCTGTTATTCATTTGCCATTTACACACCAAAATATCATAATTAAAGGAGTAACTTCTGCCCTACCCAAAGATATTTATAGTAAATTGCAACTCACAACTCACACTGCTTCTTTCTTTTTCAATCCTGATGTAACCAGCTAATTTTACTCATGGCAAACTCAAAAATGTCTCTTTCCCTTCCCCCCCCCTTTTTTTTTTTTGTGTTTGTTTGTTGTTATAGACCTTGTCTTCTGCAATATGTGCATTGGAAGGAAAAAAAAAATAGGCTGGAAGATGAAAACATGTACCCTGCTAAAGCAACAAGCCCTGTGAGATATTTTCATGGACCAGGTCAGTGCTTTACTGAAGGGGAATGGTAGCTATAATTTTCCCAAATTGTGACTGTTGACCTGCCAGAACCATGGAGGACTCTGTTTTCAGCAACTTTACAGGCCAAAACCAAATAAAATGAGAACATAGTTGCATATTCTGGACACTTTTGGGATGAGAAGAATGAAGGAAAGGAAGAGAAAGGCTGAGAATTTCCTTAGCAGAGTCTTCCAGTTGTTCTAGTGATTTGGGAGAGTAGTCATACTGAAAGCCAGTACAAAAATTTCAATCAATTAGGTAGTTTAAAAAGCTAATCCTTAGTTACAGGAGAATAGGTAATTTCTCTAAAATCACTTTTGAAATATAGTGCAATTATAAGTGGGCACAATCTGCAGAACTCTCATTTGCTTCCAGGTTGCTGCTGTGCAGTTTATAAGAGCAAGTTCCTGCAGTTACTGCATATTACTGCAAATGCCAGTTTTCCCAGCAAAAGGTAGTATTCTACAGTTATACCATTGTCCTACATCTTTTTAGAGATGCTGGTAAGATATTGATGTATCAACTTGTATGTTAAGAAGTTTCACTGACTACATAGCAGTCTTTGCTGCTATTTTAGTTGATTACTGTTGGAATAAAAAATTTAAAATCAGGCCAAGATTTGTTTATGTTCTGATGAAATCTTGATTTCTTTCCTATCTTTAAGCACCTGTTTAAAGTCTTATTGAAGTTAAGTTTTCTGGAGGGCTGTAGGAAAGAGACCTTGGGGGTCCTTGTTAAGGGCAAGTTGAACATGAGCCAGCAGTGCCCTGGCAGCCAGAAGGACCAGCTGTGTCCTGGGGTGCATCAGGCACAGCATCAGCAGCCAGGCAAGGGAGTGGGTTGTCTCACTCTGCTCTGCACTGGGGCTGCCTTGCCTCAAGTGCTGGGGGCTGTTCTGTGTGCCACAATATAAAAAAGATATTAAGCTATTGGAGAGCTTCTGAAGGAGGGCTGTGAGGATGGTGAAGGGTCTGGAGGGGAAGGTGTATGAGGAGCAGTTGAGGTAACTTGGTCTGTTCGACCTGGAGGAGACTGAGGGGAGACCTCACAGGTCTTCAACACCCACACAGGGCAAAACAGAGGAACAGGTACCAGTTCCTTCACTCTTTTGACCAGTGACTTGAAGAAATGGAATTAAGCTGAGTGAGGGAAGGTTTGGGTTGGATGCCAGGAAAAGGTTTTTCACCCAGGGGGTGATTGTGCCCTGGAATAGTCTTCGCAGCGAATTGGTCAAAACATCAAGCCTGACAGAGATCATGAAACATTTGGACAATGCTCTTAGGCACATGGTAAGATTCTTGGGGTGTCCTCTGCAGGGCCAGGAGTTGGACTTGATGATCCTGGTGGGCATATTCTATGATTCTGTGAAAGTATGAAATTATGTGCCTAAGCATGCTCTCAGGGTAGGAAGAGACCAATGAATGTAGGTCACAGAGATTATTTACTGAAAACTTACCTAGTAGAGTTGTTTCATTTATGGAATCATATAGTGATTAAGGTTGGAAAACACCTTTAAATATTCGGTGCCAACTCTTAAACCAGCACCACTGTAATGACCACAAAACCATCTGCATGCAAACCATGTCCATGTGTTTCTTGGACACTTCCATAGGTGGTGATTCCATCACTTCTCTGGGCAAGCTGTTCCAGTGCATGACAACCATTTCGGTGAAGAATTTTCTTATAATACCTATTCCCAGCCTTCCCTGGTACAACTTGAGGCCATTTCCTCTTGCTACCTGGGAAAAGAGGCTGACAGCCACATGTCTACAACCTCTTTATGTAGTTGTAGACAGTGACAAGGTCCCTCTGAGCCTCCTTTTCTTATAGTGTTTTAAGCACTTTTGGAATATACTAAACATTCTGTTCTCTAACCACCAATACCGATGCTAGTTTATTATGAATGTTGTGTGACGACTTGTCTTCTCCAGTCTCCGTCACTAATGAATTAAAAGAACCCCAAACTACCCAAACCAACAAAAGCAAAAAACTCACATGACAAAAGAAGCAACACACAGCAATGTCTATCAACCTATCAATGTCTATCAAAAATTTAATTTTTTTCCTACAAGATATGTAAAGTAACACTGCATCAAATGGTTATAGGAGGGGTGTCTAATCTACTGTTTTTAGAGTTTGCATATGATGCAAAGGATCTTGAGGCTCCACCACTCTCCCCTGATGAAAAGTCTTTGTCTCTCAGTCTGTTGAGCTGGTTGGTTCCTCTCAAAGTATTCGAGTGTAATTTTCCCATCACCAGCAGCACAGCTCGCGTTTAAGCAGCGGGCTCTTCCCATGCGGGTGCTCCCCGAATTGCGCAGCAGCAAGCCCCTTCCTTCTCGGGCCGGCAGGCGCTCCCGCAGGGTCCGCAGGAGCCTTCCCTCTCCCTGCCGGCACTCGGCGCGCTGCGCACCTTCCCGGGAAGCAGCTGGAGCGGCGCGGTGCCTCCGCCGGCCGCGCTCCGCCGCGAGGGGTCACCAAAGGAGCCCGCATCGCCGCGGAGGTCCCTGCGGATCGCGAAACATCGAGCAGCCCTTCCCCCACGTCCAAGAGAAACATGACATTATTAAAAAAAAAAATAAAATAAAAAATGAAAAAATTAGTTCCAAGCGGCATCTTCGCGCCTGACACGTCTTTCCTCTTTGCTGGCTCTCCGCTAGGAGACAGCAGTGAAATCGGACTAAAATAACCCATAGCCTACTTGCAGAGAAAACGGCTTTATCCTTTCAGCTAAGCCCTCACAGAGTAATGTAGTTGAGAAACTCGCATTATTGGCGGTTTTCCTGGAAATTACAGAGCTCTTTGCTTTTAGGCTTCCAGCCTGCAGGCCTCAATAATTTACAGAAGTATGTCTCTGCATTTTATGCAATGCACTTAAAGCAAATGCACTTGGGCTGGAAAAAAGTAAAGTATTGTTTGTTTAATGTTAGTAGTTACTTCATAATGTCAGCTATTAGTCTTGTAAAATACTCCCAAGTTCTTACTTTCATAAACTGAACCGTCCTGATCTTTCAGACAGAAACCCCCATCTGCACTGAAACTGCAGCAAGGCAGGAGACTTGAGTTCCCTTGTACATTTACAGCAATGTCCAATTTTGTAACAGGAATACTGATTTTATGCATGTGCGTTTAAATGCTGCTACTCTTTTACTGCTGTCTGCACACCAGATTAAAGCAGTAAGCTTTTTTAGCTTGAATTTTTTTTTTAGGTTGAATCTTCAAACTAATTGTAGTACAAACTAGAGTAGGGTCCAAAAAGTTACAGCACACAAAAGAATCAATCATGGACCAGATGAGAAGGAAGAAATTAAATACACTTGTCCAAAGGTGAATTCATCTTGACATGAGTTAAAGCACTGCAAACCTGCTGTAGGTAGAACACATTCTAGAATTCGGAGGGGACCTTAGTTCTATTCCTGACTAATCCAAAGCAATTTTTGTGGGATAAGAAGCAGACCTGGTATAACCTCAACTTTCTAGATTATGTGCATCTGTGAGATTCTCTTTCAAAAGGGAAATCTCTGTATCAATAGGGAAATCCCTATATCAATAGTATTCATAGCTCCTTAAATACCGACATAAAGGTTTTGCTGCACCCAGAGTAACTTTTCAGAAAGGAAATAATTAGTTGAAATTCTTGTCTCCCTGTTCACTCACTTTTTATTTTTTATTTTTATTATGTAATTTTATCTCATGTTTTATGATTCCCCTGAATTTTTCTGAGGTGTATTAACTTAATGGTCTGTGTGCTCTAAACATTTCATTTTGTTATTTTAATTTACAAATATCCTTTTTCACAGCCTGATTACATAACTTTAATATTTTTAAGGTGTATTAATTCCAGTTTATACTCTTGTACTCCACAGATTTTGTTGAAAAAAAAATATTGTCATTCCATCTTTTGGGATGATAGAAATATGTTGAAAGAATATGACCTAGTGATGGAAGAACTTTGTCACAGGTTACAGAATTTTTTGGATAGAAACACAGTGATCTATTTTTTGTTTTTCTTCTCTGAAAAATTGTAAGAAAATATTTATGTGTTTAGGCTGGTTTTACTATGTGCTGCATCATTGCAGCAATACACTCAGTGACTAAGTAATGTGTTAATTTTTGTTTTATAATTCTCTGTGATATCTTGAATGATGCTTTATAATGCTTTTCTATATTCTAAAAATAGATATCAGAAAATGACAAAAAGGATGGTAGGTGTTTATTAGAACAAATAGTCAGCTGGTTCTCTATATACACTATATGTAACATACCACAAGTACTGACTTAAATCACTATACCAAAGAAGGCACTAAAAAAGCTAGAGTATAGTTTCCTTTTTAAATTATACTTGTAAGGAGACATTCAGCCATGCACAGAATATTTGTCTCTTTTCAGGGTCAATTCCTTGTGCTGTACAGGAATATTTTGAAGAAGTGATGTCAAATAAATTGTGTTTGTAATAAAAAAAAAATGGAATTCAAGTAAAACCAGAGAAGGAAATAATTTAATAAAAATATTTATTGAAAAAAAAATCATCATCATTTGGCTAAGCTAGGTAAGTAAAATGCTAAGTGTGATTACAGTAATTAGAATGCACATGGCTAGTACCATGAGCAGAATGATTCGGCAATATTTTGAATGTTTTTTTTCTCGCTCCTTCTTTTTCAACAAGGTATCATACCCAGGAGTATAAATATCCCCCATCCAGAACTGTAGATCATTAGGATTTTCCTAGAAGAAAAGTCAGAAAATTAAATCAGTTTCTCTCTTTTACACACAAAGTCATTAGAACATACCCAGAAGTATTTTGGCTATCATCAGACACGGATTAATGAATTTAAGATATCACAATACACATGCAAGGCACTTTCTCTTGAATGTAGGTTGTGCTACTTTCCAGATGCTGCAAATGTTCCACTGGGGAAAATTAAAACCACACTTTTCATCCAGGAACCAAAAGTAGGACACCAGCCATTGAAATGTGTTTAAAAACCCAGAACAAACCATGTTGCCTTCTCAAGAAGAAATGTCATGATGTATAAGCACATTTCTGACTCCCTTTTCAAAAAATACAACAACAACAACAACAACAACAACAACAACAAACAAACAAAAAAAAAACATAAAACCCCCCCCAAAACAAAAAACCAAACCAAAACATAACAAAAAAAGAAGTAATCCTAGAAGTTATTTGTGCCAATCCACAGGGAGGCAGGATCCTGTATCATTTGGATGAGGCTAAGAAAAACATATGTCATTTGACAACAAAATTTTGCTATGAACAGTTATAAAGTGACTATATAGTATTTAAGTGCCACATTTGTAGCTCTTGCCTATGTAAACAGGGAAGCTGAGTGTACATTGTTGTGGTTTAAGAGTTTCTCTAATCAGAGGTCATGTACTGTAAAATTTAAATTCCTGGAATCTTACCAGATACCTAGATTTCTTTCCTGATCAGACTCATGCTAGTGTCATGTCTGTACCAGAAAATACCTCCATATTTACTTCTGTAATCCCACCTAAAGTTCCAAGAGGGCTGCACAGTGGTTTATGCACGCACCACACAGCTCACAGCAGTTCACTTGCTCAGAATCAGCACAACATCCAATTACCTTTATGTGGCTGGCCAAGTTAGAGTGCAGTGACTGTCTGTCATAGTCTTGCACAGTCCAGGAAGGGGTCTTTTTCTTCTCCTCCCAGTCATCATCCACATGGATATCACTGTACAATGGGTTGCTCTTGATTGTGGATTTCAGGGTGATGGGAGTAATGTGTTTCCCCAGGGATTTGTCTATTATTTCTTGACTGACCCTGTTCAAGTCTAAGCCTGGCAGCTCAGTGACAGTTCTCTTTTCTCTCTGTAAGACAAAAGTTAGATCAGAACCTGGCTTTCATTTGCATTACCTACAATACAGGCCTCCTTCCAGAATTATCACTTGTAATGTAACAGAATCATTTTAGAACTGAACATGCAACCATTTTTCTCCTCCTGGCAAACTTCTACAGCAAGGCAGCCTGACTGCTCACTATGGACAGATTTCTTCCTTCTGGGGAAAGCAGGTGGATAAAATCTGAACATTAAGTTCTTTTGCAAATGTGAATTGACATTATAATGCCTGCTGGAAGAAGGCTTCTGCTTTAGTGACACAGTGCTATGGGGAGCTGCAGTAGAATACTATAGTTCTGGTGGAAGAATGCATGATGCAGGAGCAAAGATGTAAGGACAAAGAAAAATTATCACAGGGGCAATGGTGTGTAAATGACAACTTCAACTGGAAATGCATCTCTGATAGAAGGGGTGTGACACAGTTCTGTTCACACTCTTGAATGCCAGATCTATGTCAGGATGTTGAAGAGGCTCTTCATTCAACTGAGGGCACTGTCAGCATTCACAGGTAATTAAATATCTGAGCACTCTCCCAGTAACAAAAGCTGTTGAATAAGACCTTTTAGAACACGTGGGTGTCAAGGGAGGAAGAATAACAGCCCTGGTGGAATCATAGTTTTTGAGAAATCACAAGCTGCCTCTCAAAAGAGCACTCAGGGCCTCTTTAGGGGTCTGTAAAATAGTAGTTACGATACTTTTCAATCTGTAATTGCCTGGAGGAATGCAATCAGACACTCTAGTCCAAGCTATTCAAGATTCATCCCAACTTTCTGTCCCCAAGACTTTCAATTAACTTGGAACTGATCTGTGGTACCACAGTGCGTCAGCTACCTAAGAGCTACCTGCTTTTTGCAGAGCTTTTGTCTTACACTAACACCTCTCCCATCTCTCAGGATTTTAGAGCCAACGGAGCATATTCATCCCTCCTCACAAGTACTTTTATCCTTAGGAACTTTTTGTTGAGTCAAAGGAAGCCTTGGCCTGACCCAGTGGTCCTGTGGTATGGCTGGGAGGGGGCAATCCCCACCTCTCTCCTGCTCTCAGAAATCACAAAGGTGTGGGCAGCACCTGCTGCACCATGCCTATAAGGTTAAGTGCACATAGTAAACAACCAATGAAGAAGCTGGGTCCTGAGAAACTTACTTCCACATAAGGATGACTTTCCCTGAATTTTTCACTTTTACTGAGATCTCCAGATGTTAAGGTACCTCAGGCCGGAAGGTACTTTCAGCTGCAAAAGGGCTAGGGGCATGTCCTGCTTCTCCTTCTGCATTTCTGGTGGGAGCTCAGGGTATCTGACCTCCTGCACACTGCTTTGGGAACTGCTTGGATACCTCATCAATCAGTGAAGGTCCCTAAGACACCAAACTGTTGGCTTCTTTTGCTTGAATAATTTTCTGCCCACTTTGTGGGGCAGATGAATCCATTTGCAGCGGAAGTCAGCTGCTGTGTGCCATCACCTACTTCATGACTGCAGTGCCATGTGTGCATGTATAGATTTGTATACATTAGTCTGAGACAGGTAGGTGTGGAAGGAAGCATAAGGACTGATTTCCTTCAGAAAATGAAGGTGAAGAAGAGAAAATAACAGACTTTACCTAAGAAACTCTAGGAGGAAGCATCATGCTGGCATTCCTATCACTAAATCCTGCAGAAGTGACTAAGCATGTTTCCCATCAATAATTGCCATTAGTAGGCGGGTGGATCCTCAACGACCTCCCATCCTTCTGTTAGTTCATAATTTCCACATGTTGTTCCTTAGCCTCCACACATCCCCTGATAATATTACTCCCTGCATTGCAGTTACAGCTGGCACTGAAGCCCTCTGGGCTGTACTGGCCAGATTTCAGCTGAGCTGGTGTTTTTAACTGCCTTTTCTTTCTGACTGCATTTTATTTTATTTACTTTATTTCTTATTTAAGATTTCTCATTGACCTTAATAACTCTTCCCTCAGGCTTGCTAAATAGTTGAATTTGGAGAACATTTTGTTGAAGAACGCGAACTGTCTCACCAGGGGTTGATTGGTCTACCTAGGCTAAAACGTTGTGAAAAGAATGTGACTTGACAGTAATTTTTAAAGCTGTTTCCCATAAAATTCTCCAAAACTCGGAATAGATGGCATGATGCAAAAATTTGTTCGTAAAAGCAGTGCTTTGTAGTGAAACTTTTCCCCCCTACTGTGTGAAGTACCTTTCTTTTCATGGGCATGAGGAGAGTGTGGTGGCTTGGAGCAGATACAGAGAGGGAAAAGCTTGGGAGGGGCAGCCAGGTTTTATCATGAGAGCTGGACCAGAATTTGGGGTAGGATATAGTTAGCAGAAATTTTAGAGAACAGACATTGAAGTGACAAGCTAATTGGGAGAATATACTTGATTACAGCTGATGCTTGATTGTAAAATTTCTGTGGCAGATATGTCCTACAGACTAGTTAGGGAAAAGTAAGGATGGAAGCTGGATTCACATGCAAGCCCCAAAAGTTTTAAGACTAAGATATCATACAAAGAAATATGAGCAATATTGCATTAAACTATGCATTTCTAGAAGCAGAGAAACATAATATTAGATAACAAAAATATGCTTGCTAGTATTAATTACTCTAAAAGCTACTTTTTAACATTTTCTTTTAAGATTCAAAACACATCCCAACCTTTGTCACAGATTCTGACTTATGCAGCAAATGTTCAAAGAAAGAGAAAAATATTGTAAATTTAGGTATCAATATCCATTACAGAATTCATGCTATATACATGAATATAAGAAGACTGTGTGAATGAGGCTGGAACAGAGCAAATCAAAGGCAATTTATGTTATTATTTACTGAATGGAAGGAGCAAACAGTGAATACTCAATGAAGCAGTAGTTATGAAGAACACTGAAAACTGTAGATTAAATACATTTGTAATTATTTTACAAGTTGAAAAGTGCTCAAATCTGCAAACACATAACTGTGTTTGATCTACATGTAGCTCATGAGCAAGTACACTGCTATAGCTGGTTAATAACTCATTTTCACTGTGAAAAGTATGTTCCCCTTTGACAGACCCAGAGAGCTGTCACATACAAGCACTAACATTCTGTGAAAAGCCCAGAGACCTATAGAGGGCTGATGTTACTTCCATTACTGAGTCAACATGTGCCTATTCCATGTTTTTTCTTGCTGATTATTTTATAATGCAAATTATGCATACCTTGTAATACACATAACTAAAACTATAATTTATAATTATAATCTTTATAATTATAAATATTTATTAATTTATAATCTTTATTACTAGAAAACATATTAACCTCATTTTTATCTTGACTTCATCCTTCTGTTCCCACTTCTATTGTTGTTGATAGCACTGAAACAACTCAAGAGCCTAACTATTATTTTCTCAGCCTGTGGTATGAGGTATCACCCATCAAGCCCAGGACATCAACAGTTAAGGCTAGACCTAGATTTCAAGCCCATCTACCTGAAAGAAGAGAACAAAGAGACAGACAAAAAATTAAGGAAATATACTTCCTGGAACTCAAGCTTTTCTTTCTTTTCCACCAGATAGAACCAGCTTCTCTGCTGCCATGGCCAGCCCTAGTTACCACTTGATGTTGGCAATTATGCTCAGGAAAAGTAAGAAATGCTGTTGATAGTCAGCTACTAGAAGTTTTAACTAAGGCAGTCCTACAGAAACTTACAGCCACCAAATACTAGAGGATTTGTTTCATAACAGCCTTCTCAATCCTAATGAAAGTGACTAGAAGGGTGGTCATTATATTTGACAGTAGTTTGTTTAATACTATAACCCTCTGTTGTGCAAAAACCCTGTAACAGATTGTGGAGGACCCTACCTGCACTCATAAGGACACTTTTCTGATGTACAGAACTATTTTGAAGGCAAACAAACTTCTAGGGTGTAGCTAAGAATCCCTGTGGTAGGTGTATTAACTGTATAGGTATTGCTATACATTTGGAAAATTAAAAGCTCTTTTGTTATGAAGAATAATAGCACTTGAGAGCTTCACTCAACAAATCACATCTCATAGGAGATACGATGGAAAAGCAGTTGGGAAGACAAGGATTAACCGAAGGTGCATAAGGAGATAAGAAAGACAGTAGGGCAGACAGCTCAAATCAAGGGGTTTCTGAGAAGCCCGAACTGGTCCAGACAAGGCTGCAAAGATGATCAGAGGGTTGAAGCACCCTCTCCTGTTTGTGCAAGCTGGGGTTGTTCAGCCTGGGGAAGAGAAGGCTACAGAGAGACTGGGTAGCACCCTTCTAGTACAGACGTCTGACAAGAAAGTTGAAGTAAGAATTTTTACAATAGGACAAAGGAAATGGCTTTAAACTGAAAGAGGACAGGTTTAGATTTGCTATAAGGATGACATTCTTCTCTGTGAGGATGGTGAGACACTTGAACAGGTTGCCCAAAGAAGACGTGAATGCGTCACCCCTGACAGTGCTCAAAGCCGGACTGACTGGGGCTTTGAAGACACCTGCTCAAGTGGAAGACATCTCTGCCTATGGCAGAGGAGTTGGCACCAGATGACCTTCCTTCTCAAACCTTTCTATGATTCTAGAAATCAAACTTTTCTTAAGGAAGGAAATGAAGGGGATCAGAGACATTAAGGCAGCCTCAGGTACTGCAAAACTGAAAAGCCACCTGACATGGGCAGGAAAGAAAGCAGTAGATGGTTACAAACACTTCAGCCAAAGTGATAGGGATATTTAGACAAAAGTGAATATTCATATGGACTATTTTAATTGAGCATTATTGACACTACTTCTTGTAATGTATTGTTTAGTTTAGAAAGGTGTTTTATCTGTCACTGGCAATGCAGTTCTGCAGGGCTGTGAGTGCATTATATAAAAACTTTTGTACAGTCTCAGACCAAAACTCCTGCAAACCTCACAGCTGGCTCTTATTGTGGCCAGTTGCAGATGTCTAGGGAAGAACAAGGGAGAGAGTGGAAATATGCAATGCATGTACGAGCCAGGGGACAAAGACATGATTCTAACCCGGCACCTAACTTACAGATTTTAAAAAACCCTCTTGTCCTGGTATACTGAGAAAAAAGCAAGGACAGGACACAGGCATTAACTTATACGTAAAGCCAAAAAAACACCATGCCAAGAAGTAGCATGCTGCTAAGACTGAATGCTCTCTGCTGTCTTCCAAAAATAGTGGGGGGAAAGGGAAATATAAACAAGAAAGAGAAGTCTGAGAACTGCAGAAAACTACCAGGCTGACTACAGGGGAGACATGCATGAGAAACAGATATGGAGGATTAATCATCTGGTGTGTGCTGGGCATTAAAACATATTGTGGGGCAAAGAGTCCAGCAGGACTGGAAATTGTCAGGGAGACTAGAATGCAGTGATACATTTGCAGGAGAAAGTCTGTGCTTTTTACGCTGCTTTTCACAAGGAAGGGCCAAAATTCCTGGGCTGCTTTATGGTTTGTTTTAGTCAAAGTAGACGATGAAAGTACATGCTAAGCAGAGAAGCTGTTCAGTTTGCCTGATACCAAAGAGGAAAGTGAGGAGAAAGACCAGCAGTTTTTTGTCATTACATGAAGCTGCTTTTTATAATGGAAACAAATTTTAAAATTTAAAGGTGGAGAAAACACATAAGCACTTCAGTGCTTTTGAATTTAAGTGATCTCATAATAAAAGTTTGGAACAGACCACAAGCATACCACTGAGCAGTCACTTTGCACAGGGAGACCTGAGTAGCATTAGTTTCTTCAGAGAATATTAACTTTTAAAGAGGGAATTTAAGCTACTCTTAAGGTATAATGACTTTAGGAATCTTTAGATCATGCACACATGTTCTGAAATTAATTCTCTCTCCTTCTCCCATCCCCCCTTTTTCCATTTCTGAATTAACAAATCCTTAACCCCATTATCTCTCTCATCTTAAAGTAAAATATGTTATTCCTGCACCATTAGTTCTCCACTGTGCCATCATGTTTCTTCTAATGTCTGGAACTCATAATGACTTTTCCCTTTGCTTGATTGCCAGCAAAAGGAGAAAAAGAAGGCAAGCTCTTAAGGGAGAGAGAATGGCACAATGAATTTTTATCTGGACAGCTTGAATTCGCTAATGACTACACTAAAAAGTATAGATTGTATCCTAGGTTTAGCAGTTATAATGTGTACCACTTTGCAAACTCCCTTTTTGGAGTCTTGGTGAGTACAGACATTTCCTTTGTAACAGACTTCCCGGGCTGGGACACAGAGTTCCAGGAAAACCCTCTCGCTGGTGGAAAAAAAAAAAAAAAAAAAAAAAAAAAAAAAAAAAAAAAAAAAAAAAAAAAAAAAAAAAAAAAAACAGGGG